TATTAAGGCCAGTATCTCTATATAAAAAACACGAATATCCAAATTTGCTGATTTTTTATCATATAATTAGTCATTTTTAAATAACAGCTGCTCAAGCTTTTTTTTATTTAATTAAATGCCACCCAGGCGTCGTATTTCAAAAAAAAAAAAGCCTAATCTTCAATATAGACCCACTATTCAATATAGCACTATTTAATATGGACAAAACCTTCCTTTCCAATATAGTATTATTCAATATAGACTACAACCCAATATTTAATATAGACAACCCAATATTCAAAATAGGCAAAACATAGAGGAAAAGAAGATGGTGTACAACGGAGCGCCAGAAGTAGCTGAAATCGGATTCATGAACAAGAACAAAAAAGGCCAGGTAGCAATTTTTGAACAAGACGAGACGTCGGAAGCACCTAATATTATGGAACCAGAGGTAATCAAGATTGTAAAATCAGATGTAATTGAGATTATAGAACTAGTGATAATCAATATGGAACCAGATGTAATCGAGATTACAGATGATTGAGAAAATCAAATAATGTTATTGTAAGGAATAGATGTTATGAATTTTCTTACCATAGGTGATACTCTAATTGCACATAATTTTTAGACTTCTAAATATATAAAAATATGTATACTTAAAATTTGTGCCTATAAGCTTATATTATTCATAACACAACACAGTATATTATAGCGGTTTGCAAAAAGGTGTGATCCTACGTTTTTCGTGATAACGCTAGTGGGAAATTTCAGAATCTGTCAATCATATATTTATTTAGTAATATCTACTGTATATTTTAAAACTATAAAATTCTCTTAGAATCTCAAAATCGCCTAATTTCCTGCGATTTTACATGAGGTCACGCTTTTTTGCAAACTACAATAACTAAAGAATCTAATGAATGTTAAGAATCGGGTAAATTTTGAGCGATTGCGAATATGGTTGTATGTAATTTCAACCTTTACCTGTAATTTTTTGCACACCATCTAACCAACTTGTTGAATATTAAACAACTATTCAAAAGGAATCCGTAATCATCCATTATATATATTTTGTTGCTTTAAACTGAAATTCTTTGATACAATCATCAACTTTCTTGTTTTCACTTATTCATCCGAGAGCTATTTTCAGAGGATTAAATTAGTTTCAATACAGATGAACTTTAAATATATTATTTTTTTTATGACTGAATTCGTCAAATACTATCATATGAGTCTGCCTCTACCATTATAAGTATTCGATCAAACCTTAATAATTTATTGAATATCGATACTTGGATTTAAGAAATTTTTCCCGAATACAAGGATTAACTGCTGGACTATATAACATATCTGTTAGTTGTTGCGTTTTAAATTAGTCTGCAAAAAAGCTCTTCAAATTTTTATAGCTTAGATTTGTTTATGCCTAAATCTCACAATGTTCATTAACACTAATGGAATTAGTTTTGCAAAGTAAATGTCTACGAACTTGATAAGCCCTCACTAAAAGTTAAATCTTCATGTTATTTATATTAGTTGTCAGAGACTTGAGTACTCTTTGAAGCAGATGTGGCAAGTTCAGTCAAGGGAACGTTAAGCATACTCTTAATATGATAGAAAAAGAATCTTGAAGTTTAACATTCGAAGTTATTACGTTTTAAGTAATCCCGTTATCTTATTGAACACGATTATCACTATCATATTAATGTACATTAATTTTTAGTTAAGAATTGTAAATGTATATCAATTTTAATTAAGAATCATCTTATACTTGGAACATGACTTTTTGTTAAGTGAACAGAAATTCACTCACTAAGTAAAGTTGTTCGAAATACGTTTTGGCGCAGAAATTTGATTTGCTGCACAAAGACGTAGACGAAAAAAAATAATAATAATAAGTTATTTGTATTGCACCAAAATTTGAGAATAAGTAAAAGATGGCATTTCGAACAACTTTACTTAGTGAGTAAAGCTCAGTTTACTTATCAAAAAGTATAGTTTTCTTGTAATATGTTCAATTCGTCAAAATACCCACATTCATTATAATACCCACATCTACCTTATATATCGATTACTTTCTATAAAAAAAATTTCTTGATGCTAAAAAATATTCAGTTTAATAATATTGTTTTTTTTTTTTTAGAATTATTCGGGATTCTGTTAACACTAAATAATAGTATTTTAATTGTAATAATATAATATTTATAAGGGGTCAGAAAAAAAATAATTGAGACTCTTGATACTATATAACCCGGTTGTTTGGGCGGTATCCCACGACTGTAATGGTCGAGGTTCAAATCCTACGCAAGGCAAACTGCTTGATTCAAGGAATCTGCTAATTAACTGCGGCTTGACTATGGTGACCATAAGACCATATATATGGGTGGAACCGGATTTGCTAAAAGTTTCTAAAGAACTTGCAGGTCCTGTGGAAGGTCACCTGATGTCCGAATAAATATTCCTTATCAGGGTACACAACAAGGTGTGTATGACCACTCAGTGTAATCGAATCTTCGGATAGATGGTAACTGAAAATGGGATGATAGTTGGCTAAGCCTAAGGGTCGCGTGTTGGCCGTTGGCCACTGTGGTATAGATCATTAAGTTGAGTGACCCGGTAACATATACCACATATTATTTTTATCACTCAGTATTTAATCTAAAATTATATATATATATATATATATATAATTCATACGCACATATAAAATTAATGGTAAGAGACGAAATAACTACATATGAATACGTATGCAATTAAGGATGATAGTTATGCATTACACCAAGCAAAGACGATATACATATTGATGCTAAAGTGTCTTTATTATTTTCTTCTGCTATTTTAAGCTTCAATTTTAACGTTTCTTTTTTTTTTACTTGAATCATTGGTTCACTGGGTTAATCATTTAAATGAAGAATCTTTTAGAGATTCTTTGTTTAAGCTAAATATTTCATTCGAATCTTTATTTTATTAATGTTTTAGGTTCGAAATATTCAATCAAGAATACGTGTCTGGTGGTTTGCTTTATTTGAATTCTTCGTTCATAGTTGCTAAGGATCTTATAGGACGACTTTCATATATATGATCGGCTGTTTAAGTCTATTTAATTTTATATTATTTATAAAAAAAGTAAAACTGCAAAGAATTAGTGACTGGAGTCGTATTAACTCGTGACTCGTGAATTAAACTCTGAAGAGTGTTCGAATTATTCGATCAAATTATTTATTCGAGTTTTATTCGATTAATTCGAATCACAACAATTAATTTATTGAAAGTTTTGTAAATGACGAGTTACAAAAGCAAATATACTTCAAATAGGGATTGCAAGTTATGAAAGCAAGTAGCATATTAATTGTTCAACTAGAAATAATGTATCTAGCAAATCCATATATTTTTTTTTAACCCACCAATTCTGGATCAAGGTTTGTGCTTCTTCTGTAATACTGTAATAGTACTTTTTCAGCGTAGGATTCCTCCTGTTTATTATTGTTTTTTGTTTTGGGCCATATTTATATAAACGGACTT